CAAGTTTCTCCAGGATTCTGAACCCAATGATAGAAGGAGGCCTCTCATAAAGAACATTCCTTTCAGGAAAGGGCATCAGACTTGGACAGAAGACTCTCCTTCTTGTGTTTGTGTCCTTCTTCAGCAAAGGAAAATAATTTATAAATGTTGCTGGCTTCTTTCCCCATACCATAAAGGACGGAACGCACTTGCACTATCTTTCACTCTTTCTGCAGCTAGGCTAAAGCAAGCAACTCTTTCTTTCCATTCAGCCCATGCTGCAGGATCACGAAAGCTGAGGAGCCTTGGTGCATGGAACAATGCCATTTTCTTTGTCTGGTTTGGAATCCGTAGGTTTAAAACTTAGACTTCTGACACCATGTCACAGAAAGCTTACAGAGAACACCATTCAGGAAGCTAGACAAGAGCTTCATTGTCTCTTAAACGAGAACAGAACAGCAAGAGGAAACTCCCAACTCTACTCAAAAAGAACATAAGAAGAGCCCCTGCAGGATCAGGCCAAAGGTCCATCTAGTCCAACATCCTGTTCTTACAGTGACCAACCAGGTGCCTATAGGAAACCCACAAGCAGAAACTGAGCACAACCTCACTTTCCCCACCTGTAATCCCCAGCAACGTATTCAAAGGCAATTATGGAAGAAGAAGAGAGCCATTGTGGCTAGTAGCCAATGATAGCCCTATCCTCCATGAGTTTCTCTAACCCTCTTCTGATGTGATCCAAGTTGGGAGCAAATTCAATTGTTTTAACTATGTGCGGTGTGAAGTAGTTTCTTTCATCTGTCCTGAATCTTCCAACATTCAGCTTCACGGGATGCCCATAAGCTCTAGCACTATGAAAAACTTTTCTCCATCCACATTCTCCATGCCATGCATAATTTTGTAAACTTTTTATTATGTCACCTCTTACTTGTGTTTTCTCTAAACTAAAAAGTACCAAACACTGCAACCTTTCCTCACAGGGGAGTCGCACCACCCCCCTCGATCAAGTTGGTTGCCCTTTTCTGAACCTTTTCCAACGCTACAATATCTTTTTTGAGGTGAGGCAACCAGAACTGTAGACAGTATTCCAAATGTGGCTGCACTACAGATTTGTATAGCAGCATTATGATATTGGCAGTTTTAATCTCAATTCCTTTCCTAATAATCCTTACCATGGAATCTGGCCTTATCACAGCTGAAGCACACTGGGTCAACATCTTCATAGAACTACCCACTACAACCCCAAGGACTCTTTCCTGGCCAAGACACACCAAGTTCAGACCCCATGAGCTTATGGGTAGAATTAGGATTCATTGCCTCAACATGTATCACTTTGCACCTGTTTGCATTGAATTGCATTTGCCATTTTATCACCTATCCACTCAGCCTATCTTTAATAATGATTTCCAGACATTTTTGCCAAAACAGACATTAAGCTAACTGGACTGTAATTTCTACCCCCCCCCTCCAATCTTAAAAAACCCAAAACAAAACTAGTGTTACATTAACTACTGTCCAGTCCTCACATATGTAGGATGATCTCAGGAACAAATACAATTAAGTTTAGTGCCACCTAGTAACTAAACTATAAGTAATATTAGACACACATGTCTTCTCAGAACTAAGCCCCATTTGAACATGGAACTTTTTTCCTACAAAGAATTGTAGGCGCGGAGGGCCTTCTGGCGGTTCCCTCACTGTGAGAAGTGAGGTTACAGGGAACTAGGCAGAGGGCCTTCTCGGCAGTGGCGCCTGCTTTGTGGAACACCCTCCCATCAGATGTCAAGGAAATAAGCAACTATCTGACTTTTAAAAGACATCTGAAGGCAGCCCTGTTTAGGGATGTTTTTTAATGTTTAATGCTGTATTGTGTTTTTAATATTTGGTTGGGAGCCGCCCAGAGTGGCTGGGGAAACCCAGCTAGATGGGTAGGGTATAAATAAATTAATTATTATTATTATTATTAAACACATTGCTTATTATCTGTTCCCAATATTTCTATCCCACATTACTGTAAAAACGACTGAGAGCATTGGAGCCACCACAGTGGAGGGTGAGGAATCCACTGCCACAATCAGGTGACAACAAAAACACTAAAGACTATTGTAACAAAGTATTCCTAACACAGTCAAGTACAGTAGAAGGAATTCTTGCACTTTTTTCTTTTTTTAAAAATCACCTATTGAACATCTCTGGTCAGTGACTGTAATAAACAGATTCATTCATTCACCTCTTGAAGCCTAAACATAAAGGTAAAGGTAAAGGTACCCCTGCCCGTACAGGCCAGTCTTGCCAGACTCTAGGGTTGTGCGCCCATCTCACTTAAGAGGCCGGGGGCCAGCGCTGTCCGGAGACACTTCCGGGTCACGTGGCCAGCGTGACAAAGCTGCATCTGGCAAGCCAGCACAGCACACGGAAACGCCGTTTACCTTCCCGCCAGAGCGGTCCCTATTTATCTACTTGCACCCGGGGGTGCTTTCGAACTGCTAGGTTGGCAGGCGCTGGGACCAAGCAACGGGAGCGCACCCCGCCACGGGGATTCGAACCGCCGACCTTTGGATCGGCAAGCCCTAGGCGCTGAGGCTTTTACCCACAGCGCCACCCGCGTCCCTTCTTGAAGCCTACTGGGTGCTAAAATAGATGACCAATTGCCATTCACTTGCCCTGAATCCATATGGCAGCCTTCTCAGAAGATGTCCACTTCTGAAAACTACTGGCATTTACTTGGCATCAGCTCCATCAAGCAGCTGTCCAACTGGGGCAAAGACATACGTGCGCCTTGACAGTGAAGGAAGGTGTGGATGGTCATGGTTTCCCTAAGGCAGCTTTTGCATTTTTAACTATGAAGCATGCCAGTGTTGCTAAGATCAGCAAAAATTAAAAGGTGCACATTCTGCTTGTTCTGAAAATAGTTTTACATTATTTAATGTTGTTAAAAGTTCTTTTTGTTCAATACTGACCACTAGGGGTGAGCTTTCCCTGCCTTAACTTTAGCAATCCTTTGTTTTATGTTGTATTTCAATTGCTTTTAAAATGCAGATATATTGTTCTAAGTGGAGAGCCAGAAAGCAGCATCAAGAAAGAACAGAGATATCTGATCCACCCCAACACTTTCAGTGTTCCCACTTCCTTTAGCTCTTAATTCCCTCAAACATTCCCCCCTCCTCTTGAAGGTTCACTTCTCTCTTGGAAGAATAGTTTCTTCTCAGAGGAAATGCAGTACTGCATTGTCTGAATGCAGGTACTTATCAAGGCTGCCAGCTTATAAAGGTAAAGGGACCCCTGACCATTAGGTCCAGTCGTGACCGACTCTGGGGTTGCGGCGCTCATCTCGCTTTATTGGCCAAGGGAGCCGGCGTACAGCTTCCAGGTCATGTGGCCAGCATGACTAAGCCACTTCTGGAGAACCAGAGCAGCACACAGAAACACCATTTACCTTCCTGCCAGAGCAGTACCTATTTATCTACTTGCACTTTGACGTGCTTTTGAACTGCTAGGTTGGCAGGAGTAGGGACCGAGCAACGGGAACTCACCCTGTCGTGGGGATTCGAACCACGGACCTTCTGACTGTCAAGTACTAGGCTCAGTGGTTTTACCCACAGTTTATACAGACCAGCAAAAGAAAATCCATTTTCAAACAGTGCGACCATGAGCAAGGAACACCTCCATAGAATCAAACACAGTTCCTTAGCAAAACTCTCAGTTGCAGTAGTTGGGATCAAGAGAGAGGAATTGGAAAAGCAGAGCAGAAAACCTTTTTAAAGCCACAACCCTGTTTAAGATACAATGATACCTCGGGTTACAGACACTTCAGGTTACAGACTCCGCTAACCCAGAAATAGTATCTCAGGTTAAGAACTTTGCTTCAGAATGAGAACAGAAATCACGCGGTTGCGGCGCGGCGGTGGCGGGAGGCCCCATTAGCTAAAGTGGTACCTCAGGTTAAGAACAGTTTCAGGTTAAGAACGGACCTCCAGAATAAATTAAGTTCTTAACCCGAGGTACCACTGTACACTTATCTTTACCTGGGGGAAAGTCCCACTGAACTTGCTGAGGCATGTACTGGCATGTCTTGTCCAGCTGCAATCCTGTGCATACTCTACTTGGGTCCTTACTCAGTAGGACTTGCTCCTGGGCTTTGTGCTGTAAATTTTTTATGCCGTTTATGCTAATGTATGTGAAACTGGGTCTTAGCAATCTTTACAATCTCTTGTACCAGCTTACACTAGTTTACAGCTTACAGCTTACACTAGTTGCAAAATGAACAGATGCACCACTGGCTTCAAAGACTGACATAATCCAAAAGGATGGAGATGCTGCCTGCCACTGGACTCAGAAGGCTTCCAAATTCCACAGAAGTCTTATTTATTTCCGCCTGAAGCACAAACCTACTATGCACAAATAAGAGAGGTCTTGAGGGGACAGCTCTCTGTAGACAGGCTAAAACTGCAGCACCGTGGGAACAGAGCGAGTGGTTAAAAGTCTGGAAGCAGGACTGGGGAGAACTCAGTTCAGCTCTCCACTGGGCCATGAAGCTCACTGGGTGACCTTGGGCCACTCCCAGCCTCTCAGCCTAACCTACCTCACAAGGTTGTTGTGAGGATTACTTGGGGGCAGGGCAGGAGAACTGCGTGTGCTCCCCTGAGCTCCTTGGAAGGAGGGTGGAATAAAATGAGTAAGAGACCACACCTTTAGGGAAACAGTTGTAAAACTGAGAAAATGGTTTCCCCATGGGGTCTACTTCGTTGGTTTTAACGTTCCCCAACACCACCTTCCACCCTTCAGCTGGAAAGTGAAATTACTTCTGATAAACAAATGAAACCATTTTTAAAAGGCTAATTCACACAATTTCCCCTTGTCCTAAGACTCTTGCACCAGCAACGTCACTAGCAAATTCCGCAGCAATGAGCCCAAGAGGGAAAGAGAGAGAGAAAACTATCTTTTGGAACTTGGAACATCGAGCATTTGGTCAGACGCCGGTGAAGTTAAGACCGTGCCGGCTATTATTATTTTTTGGTTACCTCAAATCTACTGAGACTCGAGCTTTTGGAGCGAGACTTCTTGCGGAGGTAGACCGAGAAGAACCTGCGCACTGTGAACTTCTTCATGCTCATTTCCATTGCCCCGGCGTCTGGAAGGGCAGCAGGCAGCACCGGAGCCGACCGAGGAGCCGCAGTGGCCGCGCGCGGCTAGGGCAGCCCGGCACACTCCCGCGTTAGATCCATCCGGGGAGGAGAAGCGGAGGGCGAGCCTTCCTCACTTGGGCAGCCAGGAGAAGGGAGATCCCTTCGGGGATTCATCCAGTCCCGGGGAAAGAGAGAGACAGAGAGCTAAGCCCCTCCGAGGCGCATCTCCAGAAGCGCCCCCGCCGCCCGCGGCTCGCTGCCCGGAGCAGATGAAGCGCCTTTTTCGCTCCGCCTCCGCCGCCGGTGTTTACATTGCCTCGCTGCAACTGCCAGCCCAACTCGCTGCCTCTCCGCGCCCCTCCCTCGCCTTCGGTCCCGCTACTACGTCCAATCGGAGCGGGGCTCTTGCTGCCCGCATTATAAGCTCCAAATCCCCAGCCCTTGCAGATGGGAGATAAATATTAAATGTGCCTATTAGTTGTCCTCTTGGTTAAAGCAGGTCTTTTGTCAATTTCCTGGCTCTCCCGGATCGCGCGGTGGAAGCAGGCGCCCTGCTGCACTCCACTCCCGCCCTAAGCTGCTTGCAAACTGCAGCAGAGCGAGGGAGAGCTATAATTATCCTGGTCCGATTTGGGAAGAGATGAGCTGCTCGACAAAGGAGATTCTCCTGGGAGATTTCTCCTGTCAGTCAGTCAATCAATCAGTCAGTCAGTCACATCAGGCTGCTGCAGAAGAGATGCAGCTTCCCAAGCCTTTATTTCTAACTGCTGTTGTGAATGTCTTTCCTCCTTTATGACTTTCCTTGAGTTTCAACCAACCCCGCCCCCACAAAGAAAAAAAAATGGTTCAGTTTTAGAGAGAACACTCAAGACCTTGAAACATCAGATTTCTTCATTTGCCTCGCTACAGAACTAAAAGATTCCATCTGATCTCTGCATACAGGCTCACATTCCAGTACTCACCAGCTGCATACCAGCACCTTGACTTTTCAGAACCACAGTTTCACCTTAAATGCACTTAGAGGCACTTAAAAGCCATCCTCTTTAATCATCCCGATAGTCTGCATGGCAGTGATATTAAAGGGATGTTAAAAATGCAAAGGAGTGCCCAAAGGGTTTGGGTGGAAGAGCAACACTTGGGGGGGCCAGCTGACATTTGCATCCGAAGGACCAAGCTCTGAAATGAGTCAGGTCCATAAATTATAAAACATTGCTGCTATTATGTTCTTGCGACATTAAATGTCTAAATGAGCACTGGTATCACCAAAGAGCTGTTGCTGTTGCAAAGAAGGGGACCCTGTGGCCCTCCAGATGTTCTTGGATTCTAATTTACATCTTCTCCGACTACTGGTCGTGCTGGCTGAGGCTCATGGGAGTTGGAGTCTGGAGGGCCACAGTTTCCGTAATCCAGCAGTAACAGTTGCCAAAACGGCCACTCCACTGAATGGGGAACTTGAAGGTTTCTTTTTCTTCTTCTGGAAGCCTATGCTGGCAATTTCTCATGGGAACATTTCTGTCTATCTTAGCTGAAGGGGTAGGGAATTTCTTTAATGTTTTAAAATTTCCAAAGTTCTTCCCCACATTTGTTCCACCAAACTAATATTGCACCTCCCTCTTGCTAATATTCCATCTCCAGGCTAAAAGGTTACAATATGGAGATGCCTCCTTCCCACACTGACACTGAATTTCTCTGATGACTTATTCATGACTCAGTTGGGATGGTCAGATACATGTAGATGACAACACAATGCTGAAGATAGTTCCCAGAGGCCACTGCCACCAATCATTCAGCCTTAAAAAGAGGAATCTATCATGTGTGAAAGTTGCTAATCATGTCTTATGACACCTATAGGCACTCCTCTTTGTTGTCTCAGCTGATTATGCTGGTCAACTGCCATTTGCCACCCAGCCAGAAATATACGAAAAGACAGAAAGATATTATAAGTTCTAGTCTCATGAAACCCCAATACAACTCCCACTTCTTGTCCATCATATTCATGCACCACTTACTGTACTAGAATGTGTGCACACAAGAAATATCTTCATATGTAATTAGCATCTTCTTGGGTCAATTCCTGATTACCTCACTTGAGGGCATGGTTAAAGTGTTTGGACAACAGCATTTGTCCATCCTGTCTTAGAATCATGAGATTGTAGAGTCATCTACATGGGTCAACCAGGTTGACCCCCTGCAATACAGGAATCACAACTAAGTCTTGTTAAAGAATTCCTGGACAAACTGGCTCCAGCTGTTGAAACAGTAGTTTTAATGCCTCTCTGTGGTCAGAAAGGCACTACAGTCTTTGATCCCATACAATTTAAAACCGTCAATTGTTTTGCAATTATTATTATTATTAATGTACAATTTTGAAGCTGCTGCTACTATTATTTTGATCTGGCAAATCAGGTGTGATTTATGACTGAATACAAGTATAATACAAAAAATGGAAATTGTAAATTTGAAGATTTTGCCTATGCAGGAGGATGAAGACTGTTTTATATCCCAGCAAAAGTCCTACACAGACTTTATTTGCAGACAATAAAATATACCCAAGGCAGATGTGATGGAGTTCCAATAAACAGGGACAAGCCAAAAATAAATTACATTGGAAATTGCTTCAATGTAGTTACAGACAAACAATGATTGGAGCAATTTACATTGCAAAAAACTGAGATTAGGGTTTCATGTTAGTAACTAATTAATTGACTCCCCTCAGAGGAACTTCTACCACCACAGAAGGAGAAGGGACAGAAATCAATAAATGGATATGCATAAAGAGAGATATGAGGGGGTGGGGGGTCAAGGATAAATAACATGCTGGCAATTTTAGTACAGAGCAGTGTGGCTTCTGGGGAACAGCTACCGCTTGGTGACAGAGCATGTACTTGGCATATAGAAAGTTCAGTACCTAGCATCTCCAGGTAGGACTTGGAAAGATCTATCTGAAATTCAGGAAAGCTGCTTACAGCCAGTGTTGAAGATACTGGGCTAGATTAAGGTTACCAGATTTTTTTCAATGAATCGGGGGAAACTTTTCAACTTCAATGGATTTTGTATGGGGAATGATTTGTAAATCCGGGGACTGTCCCCGGGAAACAGGAACATCTGGTGACCTTAGGCTAGATGGACCAGTGGCAGGGTTCAGCATAAGTAGCTTCTGATATCCTTATAAAGATTTTTGATTACAATTCATCAAAATCATTAGAAGACAACCACTGTGAGTGCCTGTGCAATAGAATCCAGGAAGTTTGTATTCAGCAATAAACAACTTACAGCACGATATGATGAACGATGCCTTTCTCAAGATTGTGCAGCAGAAGGCAATTTGTTTAGTAGTCCTGGAACAGTGCTGACCCCTGCAAGTCAATGGGCAGCATCCAGCAATAGCTTCAGCGTATGGTCATTTAGCTCAGCCTGGCACAATATGCCATGGAGAGCTTACTTTTGCATCAGAACTCCATTGTTAGAGTCCTGTTTTCAACAGGAAAGTTGTTCTGGGCATTCTCCTACCTCCGTTGAAGCCTTCAATGTAACGTGGGATTTAAGATTCCTAATAAAAGTGACCTCAGGATGACCATTCCAGATGGGCGATTGTTTCTAAAGTAAACTAATGAAAAACTCTAGAGCTACAGGATGACCAGTTTTATGTTTCTCCAAGCAGAATAGGGGGAAATCAAAGATAACGCCTGCAAAACCAAACAGGAGCTTTCGTTGATTTGTTTTCGCTTGGAATAAGACATGTATGTTCAAGGAAGTTCTCATCTTTGGAGAATGTCACGACTCCATTGATTGGCACCACACCCTGTCTCCATGGCTGATGTCAAGGGTTGAAATCAATCACAGAGTGAGGGGAAGCTGATTAGCAAAAGTTGTTGAAAGTGGTAACTTTTTCCATCAAAAATATTGGGTGTAGTCTTAATCAATCAGGAAAATATTGGCTATAAAGACTACCATTTGATGGATAGCTATAATTAATAACGCTATTAATAAAGCACTATGTGCAAATCTTCTAATAAATAAAACGTCTTAGCATTTTATCTGGTGGTGTTTGCAAGGGTCTGTACAGTCACATGTGATATTTGTATTAAGGAACAGAATGGAGAAATAGAGAACAACTTCCTGATGGAACAAAACCTGGAAGAGGCATAAGCAATTTTAAGATCTTACTGAACTAGAAAACATAGCTAAAAATGATAGAAAGCACACACACATGGTAGTGTGTACAATGCAGTAGAAAGAAGCAGAAGGAAATGCCATTCTATAGTGCATTATTAGAACCTGTTTACACAATTAGACTGAGGCTCAGGTGTGCTCATGAGTATCTGTAGGGTCAGAGGCGAAAAGAGGAGAGCCAGAAGACCTAGAGTGGCATGGCCAGTATGGAAACATGTCAGGTTTGCTCCTTCTAGCCATGCCCCAGTCCTAGGCAGATATCCACTGTGTGCCCAAAGGCACACTTAAGACTCTGTACACATGACACATTTTTCTGGAAAAAAACGGAAACTGTTTGTTTTTTCCATGTAGTCCATAAACAATATAGATCTATTGCATATTTTTTGCCCCTGAGAAGCACTTATTGACAAACTGGTTTCATCCCCAAAATAAAACCTTCTCACAGATCAATTCTACATTGCCCTGCAGTGTGTCCATTTGAAAGCAGATGTATGTGGTCCTGGCAATGGAGGGGTGTATCCACATCTGCCCAATGACATTGTTGTTGGACGAACACCAAGATCACAAAAGGAGGGTTTTCAAATGTGTGATCTTATAAAGGGAAGCGTTTTCAAACACATACCAAGCAACCATGCCCAACTACTTGTCAGGCAAGGAGGATCTACAATCAATCTAGATTGAACAAAGCATGCTGAGGACAAGCATGATTTATTCTGGGTTGCAAAAAAAATTTCTCCCTCTGCTACAAGCAGAGAAGGGTGCACATATCCTAAGAGTGGGCTCTGGCTGAGAACTGCATTGCTATAGTACAAGGGGTGGCTACAAGAAGGAGGGAGGGTCTTTTCAGTACTGGCTCAGTAAAGAAAGACTGTGGGTGGTTTAACTTTTGGATATGTATATATTATCACCTTTACTCTGTTTAAGTCTTATTGTATGCCTTTGTTATATTGATGTAAGTTGCCTTGAGATGTTTGTGATTTAAGGCAAGGAATAACAATTGGCTCTCAGGATTCAAAAGTGGAGAGCCTCATGTTACCTACTCAGAGATCATTTGCAAAAATTTAGATGTAACAATAATTTATTGAATTTATATCCCACCCTTCCTCTCCATAATGCTGTATAGGCCATACAGTATAGGCTCTCCATACACATTCAGGAGCCTGTGAAAAGCAGATCCCCAATGGCTCAGAGAGAGGCTGATGGTTTGCCATTGCAGGAACAATATACATTGCTTTCCCAGCCTCTTAAAAAACAAAATGCCCTAAATTAAACTTTAAAGGGATATTTAAAAGCCACTTTCCACCCACATAAGCCTTGCCTTAAGCATTTTTTGGCAGATGATAACAAGAACACAAATTTACCTGTTTGATTATTATTAAGCATTAAAAATTATCCTACCACAGTGCATTGGAGTTTAGGCCACAATCCTTAGTTCCAAGTATACATGCATAAGATTGGATCGTACATGGTACAGCCTGATAGACAGGACATAAA